AGGTCTTTTCTCTTCACACTAAACTTCTCAATCAATTGCCTAAGTGATACACTCGTTTCATGCCTTAGTTGTTCAATGACTCTCTCTCAGAGCTTCATAGTATGGCTCATAAGCTTGATCCCTCAATAGTTTGCACAATTATGTATGTCTCTTTTGTTCTTGTAGATAGGTACCACAATACTTTTCCTCCATTCCTCTGACATTTTCTTGGTTCTCAACACGTTGTTGAACAGCTTCGTCAGCCAATCAATGCCAATTTCTGCCATGCACTTCCAAACCTTTATCGGGATACCATCTGGTCCTAAAGCCTTTTTCAAACCTTCTTTCTTTCACTTCCGACATCCTAATCCAACGAATATATCTATGACCTCCGACGTCACTTGTATCAATAATCCCTTCTACCACTATGTTCCCATTGTGTTAGTCATTTAATAATTTTTTACAATAGATCCTCCACCTTTCATTGACTTCATCATCCTTCACCAAGACCCTTTGATGCTCACTCCTAATGCATTTAATATGGTTTAGATCCTTACACTTTTTCTCTCTTATTTTTTTTAATTTGAAAATATCTTTTTCACCTTCTTTCGTTCTCATTTTATCGTACAAATTATCATACGCCTTAAGTTTAGCTATACTTACTATTTGTTTAGCATTTTTCTTAGTATTTTTATATTCTTCTAAGTTTTGATCGTTTTTATTACACTACCAAATTTTATAACATGATCGTTTTTTGCCAATGCCCATTTCAACCTCAACATTCTACGACCAAATTTCCTTATCGAAGTTTTTTTCACTCTAGATTCTCCTAAAACTTATTTTGCTACTTTCTTGATACACTCAACCATCTCATTCCATATTACATTGACATCATGTTCAGAGTTCCATTTTCCTTCTTCAACTAATTTATTCCTAAATAAGTTTATTTTCTCATTTTTTAAATTATACCACCTAGTTATTGTACGTCCATTACTTTCACCCCTTCTCCTCCATGTCTTTATGCAGACATCCATGACCACGAGCCTATGTTGGGTAGTCAAACTCTCTCCTGGGATAACCTTGCAGTCTTTACATGATGGTCGATCTACCTTCTTAACTAAGAAGAGGTCTATCTAGCTCTTATGTGTTCCATTTTTATAGGTTATTAAATATTCATCTCATTTTTTGAAAGTAAGTGTTTGCTATTTCTAGGTCGTAGGCCATAGCAAAATCTAGAATAGTCTCACACATCTCATTTCTTTCCCCAATCCCATGTCCCCCATGTATCCTTCATATCCTCTACTATTCTTCCCTACATGACCATTTAGGCCCCCACCTAAAAAGGTCATCTCTTCATTTGGTATGTCTTGGACTGTTCCATCTATATCCTCCCAAAATTATCTCTTAATTTTATCATCTAATCCTACTTGTGGTGCATAAGCGTTAATTACGTTAATTGTCTCTTCTCCTAATACAAGTTTAATTAATACAAGTCCATCACCTATTCTTTTGGTATTAACTACTTTATCTTTAAAATCTTTATTTACTATTATGCCTATGCTATTTCTATTATTATCCTTTCTTGTATACCATAGTTTATACCCATCTATTTCTTTAGCTTTTTCTCCTTTCCATTTAGTTTCTTGTAAAAAAACTTATAAAGAATGACAAATAAAAGTAACAAATTAAATTCTATCTTTCCTTTATCTCTTAAAAAGTAGTCTAACATATTCTAACCAATCCAAACATGCAAATCCCTATCCACATCCATCTATTAACAAAAAAAAAAAACTGAACATCCAATTCTACCCCTTAAATCACTACAACAAAAAAAGACAAGAATAACCCTAAAGAAAACTAAAAATCCAGACAACACCCTGGAAAAATATAAAAATAAAAATTAAAGAAAACATTTTTTATTTGCATCAGAGAGCTAGAGAGATGAGATGATAGCGAGAGTGGGTATGGAGGAGAGAGAAATCAAGAGAGAGAGAGAAGCTTGGGAACTGTGCAGAGAATGAAGGGGAATCCCCTCCATAAATAGGCCCCACCCCCCTAAGTATGCTTATCCAATTATGACTTACCTTGACCAATACGAATTGAGAAAATTTGTCAGGTGAGAGAGAAGTACATCTGAGCCATCCATCCCATAAATCAATCATTATGATTTAGGGATGAATATTAAGAACAGTATCTCTTAATTTTGACCCATATCCACATCTAGTCTAACTAAGATAAGACGAATCTAAAAAACTTCTAAAACTTCCTTTTTATCTCTTTAAAATTGTAGGAAGTCAAAATAAAATATTTTGGTCAAATCTATCTCAAAAATTAACTCCCATAAAATAGGTACACAATCTTTTATTTTAAAAGATTATCTAACTAAGTAACTTAAAAACATTTAAATAAGAGGCGAGAGAGGCGTGTCACCCTTATGGGTGACATGTGGGCCCCATGGGCTCCACGTCCCACAAATGAGGTGTGGCACACATGTGAGGCTGGATCCAAGGGCCCCACATGTGCCCTTCCTCACGATCACGATTTTGAAAATACCCTTTTCATGGTTTTCAATGCTGAAAATAATTTTTAAAAATTCTGAACAAGTGATGATCCTCTGTAAACTCTTTTTTGTAGTGTCATATGCCTAAGGGTAAGGGTTTTGGATGTGATCACGGCCATAAACCACGTAACCCTTGGTCAGTCAACACACACTCCCACTACAATGCATAATCCACTATAAATGATACATACAAGCTCTCATGGCCTTTAAAGTCCACAAACCCCAAAAAGCCATGGCTTCCACCCTAGTAAGGGTAGCTATCCAGTAGAGGTTGAGAAAAATTGCAATGGCCGAGAGAAGCTATCTCTAAATATCCCTTCAATCGCTGTTATCCCTCACAAGTACATAAAAAGATAAACGTAAACGATTACAACAAAATCATTCCTCAGAAATGTCTTAAGGCTCTAAGGCTCATTAACCATCAAGGGGAAAAGTTCAATAGTGTTATGCTGGAAACTCAGATTTGACAATAATAGAGGTGTTAGCCATGGCAGAATTTCAAGATTTATATGACAGCTCCTCTTGGTGGTTTGATAGCATACAATGCCTTCAATGTTACCAAATGGCTTAAAAGGGAATTTCTAATTTCTTGAAAGAGTGAGCAGCCTTTTGAATTGTAGTATTCTTTTTCCTAGTATCTTATACAAACCTGATGATAAGAAAACTTAGGTTTTCAAAGAATTTTATTTTTTAAAGAACGAAAAAATACCCACAAGTTGGCTCGACGATTTTTGAAACACTGATTTCATATGATAGTGGATTTCTTTCAATCTGAATCCCCTCACCCAGGGAGGAGTTTTGTGGGGCACGCCACTAGTGCTAAGGTTTAGAGTTTGATCATATGTTGTGTAAGCTAGCAGTTGCGCTAAGAGATTATTTGAAGATAACAAGTTAAAAAGAGTAATATTTTCCTTTATGAAGGATAAGGTATAGTGTCTTATGATTTTTGTACAGACTTCTTCAAAGAATATTGGGCATAGTAAAGGAGGATACTATGGGAATAATTATGGAGTTTCTAGAAAGATGTCATTCAAATGAAGATCTTAAGTCCAATTTTATTTCCCTTATCCCAAGAAGGGAGGCGTAGGGCACAACAGAAAAACCTACCAGTTTCTTGGGACTCCTAGAATTTCAGGGATGTGGAGGAGACTTTGTTCTATTCTGCAAGGGATCGTATTTAAAACAGGGACAAGAGTAGGCTTAGTTCTAGTCAAATATCTGGTGCACCGATCTTCTTGATTGGGCAACTTTTGAAGCATCAAAAAATTTAAACACTTCGATTAGGGACTGTTTCAACAGGAGAGGTCTTGGGTGGTATGGTGTTCTGGGCTTGGGAGAAGCCTTTGAGATAATAAAACTGAGTCTTCATGCCTGCCAATCAAGGTCTTAGAATCCAAATTTTTTCTACGTCTATGTTTTGATAGGTTAGATCCTCATTTTAATCGGGTTTTCCATTGATTTCTTGATATTTTTTTTACGATGATTCAGTATGGTGGTGTACCTATTTTCCATATAGTTTGACCTAGTGTACATCTGCTCCTCCTAAAGCATGGCGCATCAGTTAGTTAGCTGAGCTCAGCAAGGCCCTCATGGAGATCACCTTGACCATCATAAGCCCCAATCCCATAACATGTGATACACTATTTTTTACCCAGTTGCCGAGATGTTAGGTATTTCTTTTTAGACCCTTTGGTGTAAGTTGGGCCATGTCTAGCTGCAAAACATATACATTCATTCTTGTTTCCTTTTATAAAATGGGGAGATTCTTGTAGTTTCACATAACTACCAATTTTGGGGGTCTTAAGATAGGAGACAAAGAAGAATCATCGTCATCATCATCAGAGCTTTTTCCTAATTAATTGGGGTTGGCTATACGAATCCCGGTTCGCCATGTTTTGGCAAAATTTGATGTCGGTTGCCTACCTAACACAACCTAGCCCCTTTATCCGGGTATAGGACAGGTTAAGGGAAAGTTTAAGGTCATCACCCTTCTTAGACAAAGAAGAACAAGAAGATTAGTAAGGAAAAGACTAGGTAGTCAAATTGTGCATGTAGAATACAACACTTTCCCTAAGATACCAATTTGTTGCTCTCAAATTTGTTTTTTTTTAATATGCTATTAATTTCATATTATGGAAAACATTTCATCCACCCTTCAAAGGACGGGTACATTGTTTTTTTTTATATGACAATATTATCGAAATTTATTAAAAGAAGGGAATCACAATAGGGAGATACAGGTACATTGTTCCACTGCCCTCCCCTGTTTTGAGGCCTCAAGGGAATTTGTTCACCCCAAACTCGACACCCCCTCTTTGCCCCAATGAAGAAATCCATAGCAAAAAATTCAAAAGGAGAAAGGTTTTTGGACTAGATAAGGCAAGCCCTCCATTTCACGGGTGACTGGAGCTAGCTCATTAAGAGCTCATAATCAATTTCAAAAAAATATTGTTCATCTGGTGATAATGAGGCAAATTACAAAATCTGAGTTTAAACAGATCCCCATGGGGCCACGATCTAACACCATATTTTCATTTCTGAAACGGAAATAAAAAAGCAATTTTCAGGGGATTTTAGGGGAAAAAATTACAATTCTCCTTCACTAGTATTCAGAAGATATATGAGCCAAATTTGGGATAAAACAAAGGCCTGTAAGGCCCCAATAATGGGGCACAGTAGATAATATTCCGGCCTGCCATTGGGTGGATCAAATGTTTTCCCTTCACATTTTTAGTTCTAAGTTAAAATTTCAAAACCCTCCCCTAATTCAGCCATAGTTCCAAACTCAAAGTGCACAGAAAATTTCATAAGCCTGGCACAAGCAAGTAGATCATCTCAGTCCTTGTACTGCAGAAAATTTGCCAAAAGATAAATAAGAAATCCACAATTCATGGTTCTCCGCAATGCACAAATTGGGGTGGAAACCTAACTAGGTTAAAAACTTGAAATGGAATGGAACCCTAAGTGGGTCAAATTTGTGACATCGAACCAACTTGTCAGCAACCCAACTATGGGTGTTTGTTAGCCTTAAGAACCATTGGACAAATCCATGACCAAAAGTTGTGGACATGCAATCGACAAAACCAAAACTAGAGACAGACCCATTCTTAATTCCATCTTTAGACATATAAACCATTAAACACAACTACAGATTCCTCTCAGCTTTGTAATTCAGAAAAGTCATCAGAGAATACCAAAAAAATACAAAGGCATGTAACTAAGATGGTTCCAAAAAACATGCACCTTTTAAGACATATAGAGATGGCGAAGCCTACTATCTAACGATCAAATTGTTGAATTAACTCACAAGTTATTAAAATTGTGAAATCCATCCAAACAAAATTAATATATTGTTAAAGATGAAAGAAACTCTATATTTATATGTACACTTAGATTATAGGGCGAGGACGATTGAAAAAGGCAGACAAAGCATTGGAAACTCAATAATGAATGACTAGGTAATGCTATAGTGCAGAAAATCGAGAATGTATTAAACTTAAACATCCAAAAAAAACAAACACAAAGGTTGCAGGAAAAAGGAAAAAAATCAAAAAGGAACCATGGATAAATAGAATAATAATTAATAGAAATAAAGAGTCTAAGTCCAACCGAGATTGATGGCCTGCGTGAATAATTGTCCCATAGAGCCACTCCTCCCCATCCTTTTTCCCCTCCCCTCGTTTTTGCTGCCTCTCTTTTCTCTTTCTTAGAGGTAGAAGCACGCTCTGCAGAACCCTGTTCAGCAACCAACCAATCCTCCTCTCTCTCTCTACTCCCAAAAGTCTTCATTTGAATTGAAGTCGAAGTACCAAACCCTCTTTCCCTTTCCTCTTACTTTTGCTTCTCTCTCTACAAAATCTTCTCTCTCTATTGATCTCTACAAAATTCTCCTTTCTAATATTAACCCTTCTCTTTCTCCCTCTCATCCGAGGAGAAACTGAAAATTCTAATTTAAATGGGAATCCAGGTTTTTATGCACCGGCAAGAAGGAAAATATTTTGACGAGTGCTTGAGAAATCGGCTCGAGTGACCTCCGACTCGGCCTAGTTACTCGACCTCGGGAAGTAGTCGAACCCGAGTTGTACCAAGTTGGGTCCAACTCCATGATACTAAAAATTTATAAAGAAAATAGGTTGATAGTGCAGCTTTATTAAAGCACGTAAAGCCTTGCCTCATAATTCATTAAAAATTACAATTCAAGCATTGAAAAACCTTTACATTGATCAGCGAAAAAAAACATTAAGATTTTGACATCTAAAAATAGTTTATATTGTAACATATTATCTAGACTGTCCACTTAGCACTATGTAACGACCCAAACTTTCTCGGCAAGAGAAAGTGTGCACGGCGGTGAGAAAGTATACATGGCGATGAAGAGAAAAGAATAAGAGAAAGTTTGCATGGCGGTGAGAGAGATATATGTGTCTACTAAAATATTCATTTTTGAATCTTGCTCAAATTCTTTATGCATGAAGAGTTACGCTCAAAATGTGCAAGTAGGTCATTGTTGACAGATTTAGTAAAATTTTAAAACTGATGTCTCTGTTATCATGAATTTTGACTAATCAAATGGAATTTCTTTTCTTCTAAGTCACTATCATTTGAAAGATCTATGAATATTCTTGAAATCACATGTTGAACATATTTCGAAATTCCCCCTAGATTGAGAGTTATACAATTATTTGCGAAGATATGTCACTATGGACATATATCATAAAAATCTATAACCATTACTTTGGCTGTCACAAACTTTTGAATGCCCAAATGGAATCCAAATGTTTTCAAACTACCCTTATTTGAAGGATACATGTTTTTACTCGAATTTTGGTTTTGGAAAACTTTAAAATACCTTATGGATTGAAAGTTATAAGTGTGTTAAATGGGACATGTCACAGTCTCAACTGCACAGCAAGTTTCAGATGGGATGCCTCCTTTCTAATGAGCTTTGAAGGGCCAAACAAGGTCCAAACTCTTTCAAACCAGCCCCATTTGAAAGATACGCGTGGCTAGTGAAAATTTGGCTTTCGAACCATTTCCGATTTCCAAATGGATTGAGCATTATGGCCTTGTTTGTGACACAATGTCATTGTTTGAAACTGTAGAAAAATATGATATTGTGATTCTATTATATGTGTCATGACCGTTACGCAATGGGTCCTCCATTAGTAGTGGATATTGTGATTCTATTATATGTGCCATGACCGCTACGCAATAGGTCCTCCATTGGTAGTGGATATTGTGATTCTGTTATATGTGTCATGACCGCTATGCAATGGGTCCTCCATTGGTAGTGGATATTGTGATTTTGTTATATGTGTCATGACCGCTACGCCATGGGTCCTCAATTGGTAGTGGATGGATACTATGATTTTGTTATGTCATGATCGCTATGCAATGGGTCCTCCATTGGTAGTGGATAATGTGGTTCTGTGTTATGTGTCATGACCGCTATGCAATGGGTCCTCCATTGGTAGTGGATATTGTGATTCTATTATATGTGAGATTGTTATGTGTGACTTGACCACTACACAATGGGTCCTCCATTGGTATTTGGATTTGTTATTCTGCTATATTGAAAATTGATATTTGTGATATGATCACTACGCAATGGGTCCCCCATTGGTAATTAGGTATATTGTACCTTGACTCCTATGATAGGAGTGAGTCGATGAGTGATTGTGAATAATAGGGTGGGTCGTATTCGGCCTGCCAGTAGTAGTGTAACGTCATTTCGCCTAAAGGCATAACAAGAGGGTCAGGTCTTGCAAGGCCTCAGCCTATCGAAAACTCCAAAGCACGTTGGGGATTGTGTGCGTGAGTGATGACATTACGAAATACGATATCTATTTGACAGTGTCCTCCCTGTTGAAAGAGAGTAGAAGTTCCAAGTTACAGGATTGGCTTAGCCTGATTGATGTGGCTTCTACTTCAGGAGTAAATAGATCAGTTCTGCCTGTCTAACTTAGGCATTTCATGTGAGCATCTGACTTTAACTGTAATAAGCATAGATGTATATGCCATCTCGAGAACAATGGATACTCTTATATTTGAATGTTACTCTCCTTATATACGACAAATATATATATTCTGATGCACTATCCTACTCTGTGATGTCAGTATGATTTTTGTTGAACCGTAGACCATGGTATTATGTATATGCATGTTGGTGGGAATGCAATGGCACTGATCTACTTACTACGCTTTTAGCTCATTCTTTTTATTTTTCCCATCTGTGTAGATTGATAACCAACCATCCTTGAGGGGGCAACTAGGCAGTGGTGGCAGGCGGCAGAAGCTCGGGACTGATCAAGGAACTTTTTTATGGTAGGTGTTGGGTGGCTGGGCCACAATGTTGTTTTGATGTAGTATTGTCTTGTTTATGTCAGGCCAGTAGTGCCTTTGACAGAATTGTAAAGAACCTTTAGAGATTTTATATGTACTTAATGGTTTTAATTTGTGCGGTATTATGTGGCTTGATGTATGAGTTTTTATTTTCTTTCATGGTTTGCTTTGATTCGGCATTTCTAAACGCGTTGAGCCACTCCCACCTGAGTGACGTTCGCGACCTCAGGTCGCGATCCCGCACTTTGTCGCCCTCTGGTTGGTATGGTAGGGGTCAGGGGGGCGGGGTTGTAACAGTTATGGTATCAGTGCAGCCCGGATAGGATTATTGGCTTAGGAAGTTTTTAGAAGTGTCTTTTGAATAGTTTTGAGTGGATTAGTAACTGAGTACTTGTGTCTTAGGTTGAAGATGTCAAGGACGTGAGCCAATAATGCAAGCTCCAGTAATGAAAACATCGAGGTGGTTAGGTTCCTCTATCTGGTCCTTCGGATCCGGCTGATGTGGCGGCACGTGTCTCGGGTTTCGAAAGAACCCAGGACATTGAGATGACTTTCTCGGGAACCTTGCTCAAGACCAAAGGCAGGTATACCAACCGATGGAGAGAGGAATTTAAGGTGGATTCAAGACTTACTCAGGCTGGCTCGCGTGGGTGCCCTCTTAGCTTGCATTCGGAATCGCCTCCCTTGGCTTGTATTCTCTTGTTTCTGCAATCACACACACATTGTTAATTTTACAAGACAAGTGAGCCTAGGGACCCCACCTTGTCTTTGGGTGAATGTACATAGGCATGCACATTCAAAGGAGAAAATAAAAGAAATAATGAGATGAGGGTTGGGAGAAGGAAGAAGAGAGAAGAAAAGAAAAGAAAGAGACATTTGACAGTGTGACTAACCTAACAAGTGGCTAGATTGGCATGATGATTGACCTGACGTAGTAGCAAGATGGGTACGGTAACACGGACCGGCACGAAGGCAATACTACTCGACGACAGAACACCAACACCGACTAACCTGGCACGACGGCTAGTTCGACATGGCAGCAAGGCAGGCATGATAACTTAGACTGGTACGGCGGTAACACTGCTCGACGACGAGACTACCGTAACAGTGCTAGACTTGTCCCTTGGTCAAATGAGAGAGGGAGAAGAAGAAGAAAGAGAAAGAACAGAGATAAGAAGAGAGAGAAAAAGAGAAAAAAGAAGAGAGAAGATAAGAGAGAAAGAAGAGAAAAGGGAGAAAAGACAAGAGAGAGAAAAGCATGGACGACGATGGACTTCCGCCATCCATGATAGAGAGAATATGAGAGGGAAAGAACATGGGCAGCGATGCACTTCCACCGTCCATGACAGAGGAAAGATGAGAGATAAAGAACATGGACAGCGATGGACTTCCACCATCCATGACAGGGGAAAGAGGAGAAGGAAAGAACATGGACGGCGATGGACTTCTAACGTCCATGATAGAGGGAGAGACATGAATGAGAAATAAATGTCATACGGGGCGATGAGCATCACCGTGCACCACATGAGAAAGGGGAAATTTAGACAGAGGCTCAGCCCGCCACTCAGGTTAAGGCTCGACCCACTGCACATATTTTTAGAAGTTAATGAAAGGTTGAGAACGTCATATTCAGCGATGAACATCGCCATGCACGACTGGCGGGGAGAGAGAAAAGAAATCAGAGTGAATGCAAAAAAGACAGGGAGGAGGAAAGAGGAAGAGGAAAGGAAAGTAGAAAGAGAATAACGGAAAGAAGAGAGGGTAAAGAAAAGTGAGGAGAGAAAGAGAAGAAAGAAGGAAAGAGAGAGAAAGAAATTATGAAAAAGAAAAGAAGAATAAGGAAAGAGAAGAGGAAAGAGGTACGCACGGCACTGCCACTGCCGTGGGTGTCAGAGAGAGAAGAAAACAGAGAGAGAGATTCATGCACGACGTTGCCATCGCTGTGCATGTTCAGACAAAAAGAGACAGTAAGAAAGATAGAGCAGAGAGAAGAAAGTAGAGAAAGAGATTCGTGTACGGTGTTGCCATTGTCGTGCATGCTCAGACAGAGAGAAGGATAAAGCAGAGAGAGAATGGAGAAGAAAACACACATGACATTGCCATCGACGTGTGTGTGAGGTAGAAAAAATAAAATAGAGAGAGAGGTTTGTGCATGGCGCTGCCATCACCGTGCACATTCAGTCAAAGAGAAACAGAGAGAAATATTAAGAAGAAGAAGAAGAAGAGAGAATGGGACACACACAACGCTGCCACCGTCGTGTGGGTTAGAGAAAGAGAAGGAAGAAGATGACATGCACGGCTCTACCACAGCCATGCGTGTTCACAGAGAAGAAGAGAGAAAAGCTGAGAAAAGAAGAAAGAAAGGAGAAAGGAAGCAAGAGAGAGAAAAGAAAAAAGAGGAGAGAGAAAAAGATAGAGATGAGCAGAGGAGAGAGAAAAAGATAGAGATGAGAGGAGGAGAGAGAAAGAGATAAAGACGAGAGGAGAGAGAACGAGATAAAGACGAGAGGAGAGAGAAAATTACCTTATTGAAGGGTATCGGCCTTTTTTTCTTTCTCCTTTCTCTCTCTCCAAGACACACCCACGAATTCA